CCCCAAAACCCCAAAACCCCAAAACCCCAAAACCCCAAAACCCCAAAACCCCGCTTTGTCTTTGCCTCATTGAAATTGTTTTGTCGATAACAAAGCAAAATTAATTATTTAAACCCAAAGTAATTTAAGAAATATAATTATTAAAATGTCCTCCTCAGACGCCCTTACTGAAGACCAGATTGCTGAATTCAAGGAAGCCTTCTCCCTTTTCGATAAAGATGGAGATGGTACCATCACCACCAAGGAGCTCGGAACTGTCATGAGATCCTTGGGACAGAACCCAACTGAAGCTGAACTTCAAGATATGATTAACGAAGTCGATGCTGATGGAAACGGAACCATTGATTTCCCAGAATTCTTGTCCTTGATGGCCAGAAAGATGAAGGAAACCGATACTGAAGAAGAACTCATGGAAGCCTTCAAGGTATTCGACAGAGATGGTAACGGACTCATCTCAGCTGCCGAGCTTAGACATGTCATGACCAACCTCGGAGAGAAACTCAGTGATGAAGAGGTAGATGAAATGATCAGAGAAGCCGATGTTGATGGAGATGGTCACATCAACTACGAAGAGTTCGTCAAAATGATGATGTCTACCTAAATATAATTGCTTGTAACAATAATTTTGCCAAATCTGCTTCCATTGGTTTCAAATTACCACTCTTCATAAACAATCCAATTCAAATTAACGACCCATTTGATACATTTTTAGGCCTGGCTTCTAGAATTAACGTTAAATGGAATTTAGCTTCTAAAATTGCAAGGCTACAAACTCGGTGGACTGTGAGCCTTTTTGAGAATTCCCAACTCTCATCAGCTTAGGTTTAAACCAAAGAAGATTTCTGTGCGCTTGGAGAATTGACTTGTTTTAATTGAATATTTTCAAATATCCAACCAAACAACATGGATCTCTGAGGGAAGATTCTAGGAGATTTGCCATAACCAGGGCATTTAGGCTTACAAAATCTATTTTGTCAATTTGATCATAATGCTTGCTAGCTAAATAGGCTTAAATAGGCCTATATAGGCAGATATAGTAGTTTTATTCCAGATATTTAGCTGAATTTCTATCAAAATTCTATTCTAAATCTACTAAAAAGACACAGTTGATTTATGCTCGGAGTTCTTTGGCTCTCTTTGGTCAAAACCTAGGTTGAAACCTATTCTTTGTTCATAATGTAATGGATAAGGGTGATTTTCGCTTTCGAACAATCTAATCCGTTCCATTTATATCGTATTTTCATAATCCAACCTCATATTCTTTGTGAGGGGTTTTGGGGTTTTGGGGTTTTGGGGTTTTGGGGTTTTGGGGTTTTGGGG